CTTCGACCAGGAGGAGCTGATCGCCCAGCAGAAGCAGGGCACCAATTGGAGGGACGGGCAGGGACCGAAGACGGCAGAGGACCTGATTGCCCTGCCGCTGCCCTCTCTGCCCGTCCCTCCAGTTGGTCCTCAGAGCGATAGGCGCTTCGTTTCTACTGCTGGCGAGAAGGAAAAGCGCGCCGCGGCGTTCTCGGCGGAGATGGTCAAGCCCGCCTTTCCGAAGAACGCGTCTCTCAGCAAAATCGGCGCGACGCTCGAGCCAGGCAACATCTTGCTCGTCACGAAGCACAACGTTCATTCCGCCCATCAGGCACGGTCGCGGTCGCGGAGAAGCCCCCACTCGCCGATAGCTACATCGCCCCCCAGGCGGGCAAGTGCCACCACGATTTCGCGTTCGACGACCTCCTCGCGCTCGAGAAGCGCGACGCGATGAGACTGGCGACGGATGCCAAGAAGCAGTTCGAGGAGGACGGGCGCGATGCCGTCGACCACCCCGCCCGCGAGCCAGCGCAGCCCGCTGCCGCGGCCACCCCCGACGACGCCGAGCCCGAGGTGGCCGCTCAGGGGGCGCAGGCGGAGCGCAACGAGGAGGGCGCCCTCGGCTGCGGCGGCGGCATGGAAGAGCCTCGCGAGGAGGCGCCAGGCGCCCCCCCCGAGCGCCGCGGCGCAGACGGAGCCGGGCGCTTTCAAGCGGGAGCTGGGGTCTGGCCATTCGCCTTTCGACTTGCGCGCGCCGCCCCCGAAGCAGCCCCGCGCAGACGCCGAGAGCCGCAGGGGGGGTGGGAACGCCGAGCTCGACCGCTTGGTCAAGGATTTCTCGGGCGAGGTGACAGGCGGGGCTGCTTCCAGCTTTTGCTCGGGCAGCTGAGCGAGGCCCGGCCAGCGCGGGGCGCCGTTCCACGCGCGCGGGGGCGGGGCGCAGACAACGGCCGACGCTGCCCCCGCCGCCGCTGATTTACGTGAGAAAACGTTGCGAATGGCGGCAACGCTGCCGCCGCTTCCAGGAACTGCCGCCGCCTCTGTTCGCGGCTGGCGGCCAGGCGCCCTCGCCTTCGGCCCATGGAAGCGCTGCGCATTTGCGTTTTCTTATTACTTTCTAGTTTGGTTTGGGATGTAACGCGGCAGCAGCACTATTGTTTTTTCCAGGCTCAGAATGAAGTGCTTCGGGGGAGGTCGCAGCGAGCGCCGGGGCTGGCAAAATCAAGGAATGCGCTGCGTTCCGCGGCTTCGCAAATCCAAGAACCAGATTTTAATATATCTCCTTGCGCCGAGGGCGCCACCTATTACGCGTTTGCGCGTTGTCGGGGGGGCGCGGGGGCAATGACTGGGGCGGGGGCTGCGGCGAGCACTGGGGCCTGCAAGACCAGCAAAACCTAACAAATCATGGCCCCTTGCATCGCGCGCCAAGGATATTCCCCCCAAACAAAAAAAAACGTTGCTCCGAGGGCGCCCAGCGCTGTCTGGCATCGGTTCTGCACTGCCACAGGGAGGAGGACGAGGGGGAGGAGCAAGACCAGGAGGAGGAGGGGCCGGAGGAGGAGAGGGGGGAGAGGGGGAAGAGATAGGAGAGGCAGGACAAATAGGAAGAAACAGAGAAGCAGAGAGAGAGGCGTGATCATTGGGGGGGAGGGGGGCGGGTCGACCATGTAGTTCAACCCCCCCCCTGCCATCGCGCAGTTTGCTCTGGCTCCGATGTCCCCCGACCCCGTCATTTTTCTTTCGCCCCCCCTTCATCTGTTCCTCGCTCGCCGTCGCTCCCCCTCGTCCTTTCATCTTTCTTCAGCGGGGCGGCGCAACGTCGGGCTGGGAGCGCCGGGGCAGCGCGCGGCCTCTCAGCGCCCTCTCGCGCTGGACCCTCGGGGGGGGGGCGAGGAGGAGGAGGGGGAGAGGGGTTGGGGGGGAGAAGAAATGATTATGTAATATGAGTGAGGAGGGCGAGGAGCTAGATAGGACGAGTGCGATCCCGACTGCGATGACGATGACGATGGCGACGATGACAGCGATGACGACGACGACGGCGACGACGAGGAGGAGGGCCAGGACTGCAGAGGATGAGGAACTAGACGCGCGGTGCAAGGATGACGAGGAGAAGGGGAAGGGGGAGCGAGGCTCAGTTATCACCCATGTCATTCTCATGTATTCATTGTTGTTGTATTTTTTTGCCCGCACGTGCAATCGAGATCCAAAGCGCCCTCTGAGGCGCCGCAAGCGCCAGGCAGCCATGGGCAAACCTCTCAGGGGCACGGCCGAGTGCGATCGGAAGACCGCGGCCAGTTACGAATACAAGCAGAAAGTGAACATGCTAAAGGCGAATGAGGTCCGACGCCTTGCAAAGGCGAGGTTTCAGAAGGCAGTGGACAGGGCGATCGCCGAGGCGTTGCGTCAGACGAGCAGGGCCACGAAGCAGCGCAACGACCGCAACATTTACTTGGACACCAAGGACACGGGCGCATCGCAAATTCCATTGCCGTGCTGCGGTCTCCCTCAACAGTTGATGCTGCGCCCTGCTGCTGCCGCGCTGCTGCCTACTCGCCGCCCTGTTGCGCCCTGCTGCCCCGCTGAAGCACTGTTGCTGGCCTGCTGCTGCCCCGGTGCGCCCTGCTTCGCTCTGCTGGTGCCCTGTTGCCCCCGCGCGCGCGGGCTAGGCGCCCTCGCCCTCGGCCCATGATATCGCTCTGTATTTCGTGTCTGCTTTGGCTTGGGATGCAAGGGGGCACGGAGGAGCGGCGCAAGTGGGTCCGCGGCGAGCATTGGGGCCTGCAAAACGAAAACAATGACGTTTCGCGTTGTCACAAACCCACGAACGAGTGCCCCCTTGCACAGGGGGCGCCAATTACTGCGCATTCTTCGCGCAGTGGTTGGCACGGAGGAGGGCGCGGGCCGCGGCGAGCGCTGGGGCTCTCAAAGCCAAAGCGAACATTGAAAATGCAAAGTGCCCGCTTGCATCGCGGTGCAAATATATCAAAGCGAACGAAAAAGTGTGCTGCGTGTCCTTGCACTGACTGACCGAGCGCTGTTTGGCGCTGGTTCTGCATTGCTACAAAGAAGAGGAGGAGAGGGAGGGGAAGAAGAAGGAGAAGAAGGAGGAGGAAAAGGAGGAGGACGAGGAGCACGAGGAGGAGGAGGAGGCGGAGGAGGAGGAACAGGGGGAGGAGGAGGGGGAGGAGGAGGAGGAGGAGGAGGAGGAGGAGGAGGAGGAGGAGGAGGAGGAGGAGAGGCAGCATGAGGAGGAGGAGGAGGAGGAGGAGGAGGAGGAAGAGGAGGAGGAGGAGGAAGGGGACGGGGGGAGAAAAAACGCAGAGTAGAAAGGAGAAAGAAACAGAAGCAGAGAGAGGTCGGAGGCTGGGGGCTTGGAACGGAAGCGACCCCAACCGAGAAGTCAGTTTCGGTTTCGGTTCGCGTCGCGCGAGTTATTGCGCTTGCAAGGCGAGGCGAAGTTGCTCAAGTTCCTGCACTGGTAGGGCCCATTATTGCCGGAGCTGCCGCCCCCCCCCCCCGACCGCCGGGCGCGGCTCCCGGTTGTACCAGCGGTTGTCCCGACGGTTGCGGTTGTCCCGATGGTGGTCCTGGCGGTTGGCCTGACGGTTGTCCCGATGTTTGTGGTTGTCCCGATGGTTGTCCCGATGGTTGCCTCGATGGTTGCCCCGATGGTGGTCCCGATGGTTGCCCCGATGGTTGTCCCGATGGTTGTCCAGATGGTTGTCCCGATGGATGCCCCGATGGTTGATCCGATGGTTGTCCCAATGGTTGTCCCGCTGGTCGTGCCGCTGGTTTCCCCGACGGTTGTCCGTATGGTTGTCCCGATGGTTGGTATATACATACATATATAAATATATATAGATGTGCATATATATATATATATACAGAGGGGGGAGATATTGAGAAATATCTATATCGATAGATCGAGAGACAGGTGTTGCCATCTATTGCCAAACGGGCTCCAGTCGTGGCTCCCAGTAGTCCCGGCGGTTGTTCCGTTGGTGATAGTTGCGGTTGTCCCGATGGTTGTCCCCGTGAGCGCCCCGATGGTTGACCCGATGAAGGTACCGATGGTCGGCCCGATTGTCGTCCCGATGGTTGTCCCACTGGTTGTCCCAATGGATGACATTTATTTTATATATACACATGTAAATAAACAGGTCGATCTATTCAGTTGTGGATATATAGATAGAAACCTAGAGAGATAAACGGTTCGGTGTATATGTATAGAGTTATGTAGACACATACTTGTTCATGGTATACGGCTATGTCTTGGTATTTGTATACATAGGTACACGCACATATATATGTATATATATGTATTATTTAATTGTGTTTAGCGTGTATGTTCAGATGTGCTTATATACGTGTGTCAATATACATGTATGTCGTGTGTATGTACATCTGTAAACATATATTCATACATATACTTGTATCAATAATTATGTGTCTTCACATGTCTATATATATAGAGATATATGTTCACATCGGTGGTTGTCCTGAGAGGATAACTCGATGGATAAGTCGATGGATAAATGGGCATATGTGCGCGACAATAGGAATGTTCCATACTCTCCAAGGAACCCAACGCCATCGCAAACCAACCGCCTCCCCCTCCCCCCACGGGGGGGGGGCGACCATATGCGCGTGCATTGGCGCTGCTCGGGCTAGGCCACGTATGTGAGAGGCATCGCGACACATTCGCACATGTTGGCAAAGCATGCCAAAGCAAGCATAGATGTAAAAATGTACGTACGTATCTGCATACTACGCCGGTGTCTAAAGGTCAACGTCGTTAACGTCGTCGTCGCCGCCGCCGTCGGCGTCGTCGTCATCGCTGCCGTCGGCGTCGTCGTCGTCGTCAACGTCGTCGCGGTCGTCGTCGTCGTCGTCGTCGTCGTCGTCGTCGTCGTCGTCGTCGTCGTCGTCGTCGTCGTCGTCACCGTCACCGTCACCGTCGTCGTCGTCGTCGTCGTCGTCGTCGTCGTCGTCGTCGTCGTCGTCGCCGTTGCCGCCCCCAGGTTGGCAGCCTCCGCCCGCGCGGCGGCGTCGCGGCGGGCGCCGCTGCTCGAGCAGCTCTTCGTCGAAGAGGCCCCCGCGGGGAGGGATGAAATTCAGTGCAGTCAGCCCGCACAGTAATGATGAGCAACTTGCCAGGGCTACCCTTGTATCCTTGCCCCCTTCGGCCCACCCTCAGCGACTTTCGCTGGCCAGCCTCGCTCGAGAGACGCTGACATGGCCCTCCAGGGCCCTTTTGCATCCTGACCGCGCATCCTTCTTAGACGGGTTTATTGTATCGTTTAACCGACCCGGCCTCGGCCCAGCCGCGACTGCGAGTCCGCCGCAGGCGCTGCAGGCGGCCGCCCCTGGACGACGCTGAAATCGCCATGGAGGAAGCGGGTCCCGAGGGAATCAATATCGATTGACCGACCCCTGACCCCCATCCCCATCCCTCTCCAGAACCCTACCATCTCACCCCCCCAGTCGGGATAAACCCTTGGAGACCCGAAGGAAACGGCCTGTATCCCCACTGGGGGCGTAAAAAGCCAAGGCCACGCCCATAGGGATAGGGAGATGGCTAAACGACGCTGAAAAGTCCCTTGCGGCGAACATGGGTGTATCCGCGCTCTCGCGGTCTGGGCTCCGGGGCGCGATCCCGCGGATGTGTGGTCGCACGTGTACGCTCTGCGCGGAGTTTCCGCGAAAAAACGCCCCATGTCCGCGCGATCGCGGCCCAGGGGGCCGGCCCACGAGGCCGCGGATGTACGGAGACGTTTCTCGCTCGCGGAGAATATGCGGGTCTACCTCGTCCCCTCGGTTCGGCACGGCGCCGAGGGGGATGTGAGAGAAGGTAGCCTTCTGGGAAGGCGGCGGGCGCACGCTTGCGCTAGGCGACGGCGGCACCTCGTGAGTTGCTCGCCGAACAGCCCCTGGACCTGGTGCCCATAGAGGCCTGCTGGGAGGCCCCCTTGTCGTTGGAGCTTGGACATAGCTCCATGCTGGCGCCTGGCCCTAGTGAATCTGCGTATTTTAGAACTCATGAGACGATGCTTCTTCTCACGTTGGACTCTAGTTGTGCGTACTCTCCTGCCGCAGCCAAAGTCGATGCCGATGTATGTAGCATGTGCGACAGGGCGCACCACGAAACCAGCTCGGCGGACGAGTCGGGCAACAGCACGAGCGTCACTCATCAAGCTACACACAACAACAGACTTATCCGCAACTTTGAGTTTCCGTTTCTGCAGCTCATGGCACGTAGTGATGATGCCATTGGCGAGCTCCGGGCGGACGGCCTTGCTCGATCCCTTGGCCGTTTTCGACACATCGTCCACCCAGAGTCTCGCCCCCATCCTGGGATGGGCGGTCGCAACCGTGATCATGACGTGGTGCGTCATCATCTTGGCGAAACGGGTCCCCGAGCGGAGCCCCTGCACGACGCTGAGGAGCGAGTCAAAAGGCTCAGAAATTGCTTTGTCTTGCTCCAAGCATCTCGGGGCTGCGCACTGCAGCAGCTCAGGATACAATATGACTGGAGGAAAGTGTAGCCGCATGGCGGCCGACACGAGGATGTCCCACGGGATGCTGTCGTAGAGCGTGGCAATGTCGAGCATCCCGTGGCCGTACTTCATGCCCGTGGTGAAGGCCAGCTCCTCGTCCGGCGCCCGCAGGAACGCTTCCTGCAGGCATGAGTTGCTTGGCAGGGCTGCGTCCCAATGTCGGGCGCTGTCGGCCGACCATGACTGTGCATGGGGTTCTCGCAGGAGTGACCAGAGCCGGCCCAGCATCGACACGAGGCCGATGTCACGACCTCCCGCCGTCTTCTCGGGAGTGAGCTTTCCTATGACGGCGAGCGTCTGCGCTGGCCACGCCAGAGTATGCTCGACCGCCTCCAAGATGAGGAGCAGCTCCGCCTGGCCCTCAACTGGGAGCCTCTGGTAGTCCACGGGCGTGACCATGTCGATGCCCATGCCAGCCTTCGCTTTCATGTGTGATGCCCCTCTGGAGATGTCGGCCACCTCCATCTGCGGGAGCGGTTCGTCCATCGCTCTCTCACGGACACTTCTGAAGAACTCTTGAACGTCCTGCACCTTTGGGGCCGTGGGGGCTCACAGCTGCTGGTGCTTCTTCGCCTTCGCGTCCATGATGTCCCTCGGATGGTAGATCAGCTGCTGGCCTACCACGATCTCTACTGGGGGGAGTGGTCCTTTCTTCAGCGATTTGTGCAGTACGCCATTGGCCTCGGGCTCAACCACCCACGCGCGGAAGTCGTTGATGGCCAACAGGACTGCAAGCCTCTGGGCACGCTGCATGATTTTCTTCGCGGCGTGGGCGAATGACTCCACGACCGCTGGATGGCACTGACACTGGCTCTCAAGGATGCGGAGCCACTCACTCCACGGGGGGTCACGACCTTCTCTCAGCACCGTGTGGGCGCCGTCTGGTCTGTCCCCCGCTGCCTTCTTCGCCGCGATCTGGTACTGCTCCAGCTGGCGCCGCCCGTTGTCTCTCTGGCGGTGCCTGCTGACCCAATGGTGTGCACCTGGGTCCACCACTGAGCGCGCTGGTCTCGTAGGTGGACTCGTCGTCTGTGGGCTGCCTGTCTCACTGGGCCCTCCTCGAATTGTGCTCCCTGCGCACGGCCAACTCGAGGGAGGGCCACTCCATGCTGTCGAGTGATGTTGAGCTCGACTGTGGAGATCCAGGCAGCATGCATACCCGAAACAAGAAGAGAGCGTGAGGCTTCGAGCCTAGATACTACGGAGCCGAGCAGCGCGGGGGAGAGGGAATGGGCGCAGCCCTGCCCCGAGGCGAATTCAATCTTCTGGCAGCTCGCAACCCGCAGCTTGCTGGGGATAGCAAACGTTTGGCGGAGACGGCGACTCACTTCCAGGGACCTGTAACGGACTGGGCCCAGGGTCGGCCTCTTGGGTAAATTGCCGTTCAGAATCAGTATTTAAAACGCTGTCTTTTTTGGGGGGGGCTGGCTCGAATTGGAGGGGGTGCTGCACTGCTCCTGCGCCTGGCCAGATTTCAGCTGCTTCTCCTGGGCACGATCACTTACGCCCACCTCCGAGCTTAGGTCGGGGAGGACAGGATGTGACGGGGAGGAGAGGGTGCTGCTCAACGCCAAGTCATCACAGAAATTGAGCTGGTCAGCCCACTGGTCGTCCTCTTAGTCGGGCCAACAATCGAGAGATTCATCGACTTCATCGGGAGGAGCCTGACCTGCATCCTCCACCGACGACGGGGCCCCAGGGCTTTGAAAGCAAACCCCAAACATGTCGTGAAACCTCGACCTACGAGCCTCCAGAGCCTCTTGCTGAGCAACAGCCTGGTGGACCCGAGACAAACTTGACTTGGAGCCAGACGTGGGCTCTCTACGTGGCCTGGGGGCTTGACGGAGACTCGGGGAAACCGCGAGAGAGCGGGCGAGAAGCTGGAGGCCAGAGCTGCGGAATTCTAGAGCAAGGCCGTGGTGGGGCTTCCACGGGACAGACCTCACAGCGCTGATAGTTTTCAGGAACGGCATGGCCTCGGGGCTGCACACAACGTAGTCGAGCACTCTGTCGCGCCCCTGGGCGTTGGCGCACGTGCCCTCTGTGCCTGCCGTGCGCATGATACCATTCAGCTGCTGGACAAAACGTGAGGCCTGCAGAGTGTCGGGCTCCATATTGAAGCCACCAACTATGAGCCGCGGAAACCTCGCCGCCTGGAGCAAACCCCCGAGGCGGTGAAACTTGGCCTTGTTGGGGCCAGTCATCATGATGCTGGGCAGTGCATAAGTACAACCACAATGATTGAGTAGCTTGCCACGTGTAGCACCATGGGGAGGAAACCGTCGAGGCCGACCTGGCCTACCTCGAGGAGGTGCACAGCATCAACCCGCGCCTTTGGCAAGACGTCCGCCTGGAGATGCTGCTGGGCCAGGAAAAACTCGCCACCCTCGTCCGCCATCTCCTCGTACCCAGCTGCCACTGGTCTGGCCGAGGGTCGGGCTGCGTTGCTATGAAGTCGAAGGTGAGCGTCCCTCGCCTTCTTGTCCCATTCTCTGAGCTCGGACTCGTCGTGTATGTGAGTCTCAGCACAGGCCCAACAATCGTACTTGCAAGAATGTATTTGGATGTATTGCCACACCTTGGCGGTGAAGGCCGTGACATAAGCGTAGAACAATGTCGTAGTGGCCTCGGTGTGGTGGTGGTGGTCTTCTACTGATAGCCAAGAGGCGGCGGCCGCCTTCACCTCGCCAACGTCCTTGCCCTTGCCCTTGGGCTTGGACTTGGCCGCCGCCTCCTCTGCCTTGGCTACGAGCTTCGCCGCCGGCCAATTCTTGGCCTCTTCCTGGATGATCTCAGGAGTGTCCTGCTGCTTCTCGGGGACCTTGGCCGTGGAGTCACCAGGCGTCTGGCTGGCGGCGGCGCTCGGGGCGGGGCCGTCCTCACTCTGGATGTTGCTGCCGTCGGTGGCCGCCGCCTCGCCGTTAGAGCCCTTCCGCTTCTTCGTGGCGCGCTCCGAAGTATTTTTCTGCATCTGTTTGGCCCTGTCGAACCACGCCTTGCTCTCCGCCCCCTTGCCGCTGAGGTCGCTCTTGACTCCCTTGAGCTGGTCATGCAGAGTCTTGAGCGCCTTGCGCTCCTCCGCCGTGCACTCCATGTCGTCAAGAGAGCTGAAGAACGACTCGTCCCACTCGATGGTGAACATGGCCGCATCTGAGGCAGAAGGCGGCAGCGGACCCACGCCCTCGGCCCTGGCGACTGCCTGGGCCGCCGCCTTCTTGGCCGCTGCCGCCTGCGCCAGAGCCACGGCAGCACGTTCCTCCTTGGCCTCCGCGGCCTGGAGTATCTGCCTCAGGCGGAACATGTTGTCCACGCATTGGCTGTGGTGGTGCTCGGCTCCCTTCCACGCCCCGTCGGTCTTGCGCAAGGCCTCCGCGGGCGAGGTGGTCGCCTCGGAGTCGGCCTTGGCCCTAGCGGTGATATTCTCGATCTGCTGTTCGAGCGCCTCCTGCAGCGCTGCGTCCTCG